ACTGATTGAGAATTTTATATATTAAATTCAACTGCATTATAAAAGGGGCACAATGTTGTCCAAGTACGAGAATAAAGCCGAATGAATACCAAGAGGCAAGGGCCAGCGATCCTTTGCACTCAAAGCACGTTACACTCCTCTCTTACAACTATTAACAACAACGCAACTTTTAACAAGTGGCCTTCAACTTGCTTGAACCCAGTTCATATGTAAAAACTAGTTTGGGACACAATGACGCCAGGAACTCCAAATTCACCTCGGAAGTCTCGCCGTGAACACAAACCCTGGCTAAGTTACATAGAAGACAAGTTACTCGCTCAGGCCGATGATGAAATGATTTACGTAGTTCCCCGATGAGTCACTGAAAATGAATAGCCATTACGAGTTTGGTAATAATACAGGTATTAATTGTTATGTTTACTTTCTAAAATGTTCGCTTAGGTCGCGTAACCAATTCAATGTGCCAAAATAACTGTAACGAGATAAGCTCTAGTTTATTATTAAAATAAAGAAAAATTTACCACCAGATTATTTTTGACCGCAAATGGTTGGCATGACAACCACCAGCCAACTTACAATTAAGGATCATTCCAATAACAGTTTACAAAATGCTAATGTTAATGGCAATTCCCAACGCGTAGTTTTATAATTGTCGCCGCGCAGTAACAGATTAACCAGCCACTGCAAAATCATAGTACCCATAATGCGACTCATCTGTCAATGACAATGGACGCATGAGGGCCGTGTTACATGAGCCCTTAGAGGATATACGTATTCACACACAAACAGCTCAATTGATCCAGTGCGGTCACTGTTCATACATAAAAGTGCATTGGCAAAACAAAACGAAAAGGAGCAAGACACTAGGCTCAGGGAGAGATAAAATGAAATAAAATAAGCTTTTATGTTTCCGACGTACTTTGTACAGCTAGCACTCGTTTCGTCAACACGGGATTGGTATTATCAGAGCCGTTGCTAGGCATTTGTTTGAAAGACATTAATATCTCTCAAGCAATAATAATAATTATAATAAATTAACATTTGTATTGTGCGGTCTTCATGACAATGATCATTCGAGCATACATAAAGTACTATTAAAATTACTTAAAAAGAAGACTAAGACCATTTACAATAAAACTACATGTACTTTAATTTAAAAATGTGTCAAAAAGACTTAACCAAACATCAATACATGGGAAGTATTACAGATAACCCTCCCCCCCACAAACACACAAAGGCACCAAGTTAAGACTTGACAGAAAAAAAAAGAGAGAGAAGCTAAAGTAAGACTTGTGAGGATGATTTCAATTTACAATTTTAAACACTGAAAAATTAACCATAAACTTAGTTAAAAGCCAGTTTAAAAGGATAGGTCTTTACTTTACGCTTAGAAATAGCGATGGATTGCGATTGTTGGAGATCAGCAGGCAACTTTATTCCATAGTTCAGGGGCTGCACATAGAAAAGATCTAACCCCCCCCCTGTTTTTAACATTCTACACTTAGCATTTTCCAAACACACCTTATTGTTAGAACGTAAACAGAAAGTAGATGCCTCCTTAACACCAAGATCACCGATGTAGGCTACTTGGGGGCCAGACGGTGGAAAGTTAACAGGAGTATTTTAAAATCTATACGGAATTTCACTGGCAGCCAATGTAACTGACGCAAGACCGGTGATATATGGTTGAATTTCTGTGTGTTGCTAACAAGCCTAGCAGCTGCATTGAGAACTCCTCGTAAGTTAGCTAATTCAGAGGTGGGTAAGCCATACAGAAGACTATTACGTAGCAGCTATACGCACCAAACATCCGCGATTCAAAGCTAAATTATCACAAAATGTTTCGGAAATCGAGTGCTTCAGTGGAGTGTCTGTTTACACAAGTATCCTGCCTCTAAAAGACATGACATCTGAGTGAGCGTTTGACTATTGGCACTGCTCCATTTCAAATTGATATCACAAAAAATTCCAAGGGGTCCGTTAAACACCGTTTGATCATTTCCTGAAATCAGCGATATGGACCTGATCAGACAAAAACTGTTATCATCAATGCTTTTTACGTAACTGTCGTTTAATTGATAGAGTCATGCAGTCAATCTGGAGTATGACCCACTTACACTTGACAAAATGATCTGGCGTGTTTGTAGTCCTGCATTATAAAACAGGCCAAGAAATCTGGACTTGAGATTTCACACATCGACAAGCAAAAAAAAACCGAGAATACCAACTCACAGCAAGTAAATATTACTACGGCACTCCTGTTGAAAAGAAAAGTGAATAAAACTTTTCAAATGAAATGCTTTATGAACACCCAGTTCAGAACGTATGCCGATTCAAAGGCAGCCCCTCAGAGAGAAAAGACCGTTCATTCCATCATTAAGAATGAAATGTGAAGGGAAATTTACCAACTCAAATTGCCCACTCAAGTACTTGAGGAGGGCCTTAATAGACACTGGGTGAAGTCCATGACCGGCAAAAACACGCATGGACAAAATAACTGGCCACCGAGGCCTGGGAAACATATAAAGGTTTTCCAGCACAGTCAGGTTGGTGATTTCTTCTATAATGATTCCCTCAAGGGTATAGATTGAAGAAAGAAAACTGGACAAAAAACGCCTGCTGGATCTCAGACACGACGGAGTGAAGTCCTGACTGCTCGAGGCAGCAGGTAAGCTGATTCAGCTCACGACTCCCGGAGTCAAGAGGGTAGAACGGCTGCCGAAGTAGGCTTCGTTGAGAATAAGCATGCAAATAATTGTAAGACACAATTCTCGCCAAAGAACGCTGTTCCAAAGTCCTTCCCCTCCCCCTCGATTCACTGCTGCTTATCCTGAAAATGTCTTGTCAAGTTATCCTACTGAAGTCGGTCAACAAAATCAGACCGATAAAGTCGAGCGTGTAGCTGCATCTCGCAATAGAGGAATATACCAATACTAATGCAAATCTGAGTAGAAACACAAATTAGTGCTCACTCACCTGTGATCGTCTCATAGAAAATTCAGAAGGGAACATTGATTTTTAAATGAGCATTATAGGCCTATGCGGTGCATCATACTGCAGCGTATATGCCTACGGGTCAGGTACGGCGAGGACATGTTCAAACCCGCTTCATCTAACCGACCTAATCGAAACGTTTATATTTTACAGAAATATTTCGCACCAAATGTTGTATTCTAATCACATCATTTTGAGTATGGGAGGACTTTTTAATTGCCACTCAAAGCATGTGTGTCGCAGAAGAAAGGGCTTCTTGGCAAATGTCCGATTACGAGCGCGGGACGATTTGTATACAGAGCTGCGCCAATCGCAAACTGATAACATTCGTCAGCTTTGGTCAAGCCCATGATGGCAGAGCAAACACACTCCACTTGAGAAAAACTGTTGACTCTGTCAAAATGGGAAATTGCCAGCTGCCAACAACAGTGGGTGAGTCACGGTTCCGCATGTAACTCGACGGGGACAAGGAGAAAAGAAAGAAGACATCGCGTCAAAATGAAAAAAAGTATTATTCATCTAGGGCCGATTGTTCATTTAATATATCCGTGGTGGTACTGCATCTAGCACGCTAGGCCCTAATTAACTGCCATGCAGGGTTCTTCAGAAAAGTACAAACGTCTATAATAATTCTACGATGTCAGGAAAAAGGCCTCTGAGAGTTTAGGAGGGCCAACATCATCAAGCAGGACCTAACTGCGCAGTATTTTGAACAGAGGTGTCAATCAAAGACACGATGGCCGTTAAACAAGGACATGTAGCCACTCACCCACCTTTTAAACTGCCCGACGCATTTCTGATTCCTTTTGCATTTAAGCATAAGAGGTCTAAAAATACGCCTGGCAATGTCATACTCCTAGCCTTTTTGCAGTCGTATTTTCGCATTGATGCCTGCACGGTCTCTTATGTGAAAAAAATGGTTTTCACGCTATTGAGTGAAAAAGAGGCATGTTGCCAGGCCAATGCGCAGTGCCGAACTCAGACCTAAACCGGTACACAATATATGAGAATTAGGTAAGCCAATAGACTTACTATGTTTTTGTCATATTTGGTCCTGCCAATGGCGAGTTATATCCACGCTGTAGCTAGTTTTCCTCGAGTCCATTTCTCTACATCAGCAGAGGAATGAAAGTGCTTCAAATTTGAATTTAGCGACAAATCCCACTGGTCATATCTTTCACTTCAGACTTAATGTCCTGTGTAGATGTAATGGGCGCTTCGAATTGAGGCTATTGGTATCGGGTTCACTCCCCCTGCAACTGGGCGTTTGTTTTTTTTTTTCAAATTCTACATGTACCACAACGCGGGCGACGATCATGTTGTTGTTAAAAAAATTAAAAGTGTCAAGGCCATTTTCAAGTGAAGAGTTGGCAATGTTTTGACACCGTTGCTGAGGCCGTACGTGTCACTTTTGTAATGCGCTTCGCATGTAACTCGGTAACTATACACACGCGTGAGACTGCCCCTTTCAATGGCAGTTTATGACGTGAATTGTCAAAATAAAAATTGAATATCCAGTTCACAGATCATTAGGCATAATAATATCCAGATGTTGCATGCTCTTCAAGACAACAAATGTCTTCTACGAATAAAACACAGTGTTGGCCTAAGCACAGCACTTTGCTAAGCAACGGCCCTTCCTTTTAAGAGCAGGTGGCCGGCCACAAGCGCCAAGAAAACACAGTCAGTAAAATCGTGGAGACCCGTATGACTACTTACGCCATGGAAATCTACGTGGAATTGTAACTAAAGTGTAAATTAGACACTATTGTACTTTGTAGACCAAATTTACTATATAGCAATTACGAATGTTGTTCGAAACCAATTCTCAGAAACGTAGGTTTCTGGTAAAAATACCTCTCTGAGAATCTGAGAAACGTGGAAAGAAATACGACTGCATTAAAGAAATATCTGCCAAAGTCAAAAGCTGGTTCGAAGCCAAAAGCATATACATAACGATAGGATGCAGTATTATAAAAAAAAAAAACATATGAAGTTTCACTTACCGAGCAGAAGAGCAATGGCTAACCATTTGTAGCACGTGCACAGATCCATACCTGGATTCGACAGCGTGTATGACCTTGCTACCACAGCCGCGGGTGTCAGTCGCAAGAACGCAGCGACAGTATTTGGTGTTTGGTTGCCGGCCGGATTGATGTGAGCACGGACCGTGATGTGAATGACCGCCAACAATCACTGACCGTTTGTGCCTCCTGTCGGTTCGGTTCTGAAGCAACGAAGCTCGCCTGACAACCGGTACACAAACACCGGTGATGACCCAATTTCGGTCGGGCACCACAATTACATTGATCTCGTGGCTAACTATATCAATCCAATCACTCACGCTCTTGGTTTTTGAGGCTTCAATTTCGAATGGCCCCAAATAAAAGGAGATTAAGCCTCACGAGCAAAAGGACACATTTTACAAGCTCGGCACAGGAATGCTGTGTCATGTCGATGTTCTGGCAATTGACATGGGTTCCAGCATGCACGTGCGTATATGAACGAGGTTTCAGTCACACATCCACCCCCATTGCACTCAGTGGAGTTCCCCTTCAGGGTTCCCGGTACAACGTGTTGCGAAGGCTCCACACGAAATGGAAATGGCTCGCTGCGTACACGCCTCCTGTGTAACAACCGAGTCAGTGCCAGCCACGCAGACACACTGAACCCCTGGCTAATAGAAAAGCCGCAAAAAGGCCAAATGGTGCCAACGACAGCCAATGATCAACGCGCCTTCCGTCCGCCAATTCTCTGACTAAAGTACTCTTCGTCCATCAAAGTCGACTGGGGATTTGTCCATTTACAATCCCGGGCGGCCAAGCCAGGAGCAAGGGGAAACAAAGACGCAACCGATTGGCTTGAAATCTGTGGTGTGACTATAATTGAGAATACATGTACTCATGTTTTCCCCGTGTCTCGTGCAAGGCCTAGTGCGCTTTGACAAATGAGCACGTCTTGTTATCCCTACAATGTAGTACAACGGTTTCTTCCGGGTTGGTGCGCTCTGGTCACAGGCCGTCACGCAGGCTGGCTGACTTTGTAGATACCGCAGCTTGTAGTAATTTTCCGGTTCTGATGCAGCAGTGGTACTGTGCATGTGATAAGCAAGCTGTTGGAACAGGCAGAGCACACTGCCTGAGCTCCTAGCAGCAACCACAAAGTGTTGGACGTGGTTTGCGTGAAGTGGAAAAGAGACTTGCCATTCACGAGGTACTCGTACAGTATATTCAGCCGGTATACACGTCTATAGTGCAGCAGCATATCACTCAAAAAATGGTAATAACGCACTCGGGCGTCCCGCGGGTCCTGACCGTCGCTGGGCCGCGTTTCCCCATTGTTACCGACTGCTCATTACTTCGTAGCGTGCCCGGCGTTCACACTGCCGGCGGGGACCCGCAATTGATTCTAGCAGAATTTCTACCTCCACCACCGTTTCCACTCCATAGCCGGAGTGCAAGTTTAAAAGGGGATTTCTCATTCATTATGAATGCAGGAAAATTAAAGATGCATAATTGGTGACCTTGTGGCTCTCTCAGTGCATGAAAAATATTTAAAATGAAATTATTATGTATATTTCTATCTAACAAATGACTTACCTGGCTTCTAGTAGCGCTGAGTACTGAAATTATCCAGATCCTAGTTTTTACGGGGTAGGCGTGTACAAAGAAAAGTATCTCCATAGTTTTATCCTTTACAGCTATTTTATTAGTGAAGCTTCTAGGTAAATATCAGCAAATGAGCACAAGGTCAAGTGGATATTCCTCCCCTGCCTATTCTTAATTTGGGGTAAGAAAACCGAACGGTAGAGAGCAAAATTATCACTCTTGAACAAAATATGAACCATACTGATTGAGTCGCGAGACAGTCATGAAATTCTTCAACATCGAAAAGTGTTTATTTGCCCTTCTAAGTTGTATCTTTCTAGCAAGCCCCACAGTCAATATGAATTCTGACCAGAGACAGTATAAAATAAAATGATGTTATAATAATGAAAAAAATGCGAAAATTAAGGCAACCTAACGCTTTCCCTCACCCTCTGAAAAAGAAGCCAATGTGTTAACAAAGATAGCTTTGGTTGATCATTTGTCACTTTTATTACACAGGCCTTCAGAGAAAAGGGATCATATTTGAAATTTGGGGGGGGCCGGATATATGTGTGCTCGCCTGCCTGTCCTGATCTTTCAGGATGGATAGAACCGGACCATCGCAAGAGGGCGCCCTTCTGTTCTTTCCGTTCGCTCAACATGGGCACACACAAGTTCGAGTGCCGACAGTATGTCAAGACCAGTGGCTTTGTTTCTGATAACCTTAGTATTGTTCAATTAATTCTGTCTTTTACTTCTTTTTAGCGGATAAATATTATTTTGGCCTGCATTTTGCCACGAATATCGAGTTTAATTCCAAACTGCGTTTGATTTTGTCGTGACGCGTGGATCACCTGCCGGCTAGCTCCAAGTATCGAATTTTTCGGAATGGTATTGATTTTCACAAAGTTGCTACTGTGTTCTTTTTGATATTTTGATACCCCACGAGTAATTCACAATATGAGGTGCCAAAATCATTGGATCATTAAATACACTTCGATTTGAGCCACTTTTGTCACAACGTGCTGCATTTGGCAATAAATTGGACAAGGTGCCTCGTTGGAGGGTTTCGGAACCGATTATAGAGACATTTCTATACATCACGAATGTAAAACCTATGTAGATGGCAGTTACATTTAGACCTGCATGGGCCGGGAATTCGAATAACCATTTTTTTTAAAGGAAATTGGAAGAAGGAGAAAAAAGAAAAAAACCTTGTCACGGTCAAGACTTGAAAATTAAAAACAAAATTCTTCTAAATGGTCATAATCTTGAAATTACAGTGAAACACGCAAGGCCACAATCTTCATGAGTGTCACCAGGCGGCGCTATTTCTCTCCAATTTGGCTCTGTTTTCTATGGGCGCCTTCAGTGGACTGGAACCGAATAGGTTCTGTTTGTGACACTTGTCTAGCGCCCCCGTAGCCTTCTCCCTGTATAATTAACGTTGGTGGATGGGTATAGGTCTCTGCGTGCCCAAATTCAACGTACAAAATTTCACCAGAAGCGTCGGAGCGTGTTTCGCATGTTGGAAAGGCGGACTTCATGCGGGCATAGTGTAAAGCTTCCAGAACAAGGACGAAATTCCAGCGGCATTGCCGGTGGCGTGACTGGGGTGAAATTTTTGGATGAGGAGAGGCAACCGGAGTGCACGTCTTTTTTTTTAATTCAAGGGGGCGCTGACAGCAAATGAAACGCAACTTGTACTTAAGACACGTTCACTTTGCAATACAATTTCACACAGGGGGGGAGACCATGGGACGGACAAAGACATCTGTAGGCGAAGGGACGTGCCCCCCCCCCTTCCATGCCAATGGACGCTGGAGTGACGCAGGATTGTAATCATCAGTGCAGAAATAGTCTGCAGTGCCACCAATTCGGGCCATATAAACAGTCCAAATTTCAAGCACCCGATATTGTGTGGGAAATTACTCAAGAATAGCTTTCAGCAAACACAGAATCACTTGATTGACAAACGGAATCAGCGTTATGCTGTGCGTTTACGGTGGCCTTACAGCTTCTGCCATCACCCAATCAACAAACACACTCAATGACTGAGTACCAAAATAAACGTTAAAGTTGTTACAAGAATCACAGCTGCTTGCTTCAGTGGCTTCCATTCCATGCCTACAAACTACCGTGAGTTTCCATTGGTATCCTACACGGTGGCTTTGCAATCACGCTGTAGCTCTGTTTCGGCAGTGGGACTTAAAGGTATTCTTTAAATTTGAAGTACCTTATAAGCAGTTTGCGAGGTGCAGCACGGTACAACTTTTTCAACTGCCGAAATGAAATTACCCATCAGCAACTAGTACAAGCGTCGGAGCAGTGACAAAATGTGCTGTTACAAGTTCAAACAATTAACCAGGATGTGAAAGAATTTTAAGCTGGATGCAAGACATATAGTTGATACGAATCGTCATTCGTCATAAATGGCGAACATTAATCTGCCGAGTCCTGGAAGATCAAAAACGAAACATCAGTCATATTTGGATCTAGAGAACTTCAAAGGCTTACTTCATTTTGTAACAGGCAATCTGCTGATTAGGGGATATGCAAAATAGTCACTTTTACAGCCAACTTGTGAATAGTACAGTACAATACAGTTACTTTGTTTGTTTGATCAAATGGTTGCTTAGGCATGAGCAAATTTGCTTAGATACCCTGTGATCGGATCCGGGTATAGATAACCTATAAATTTGCTCTATTATGGGACTTGGTTTTAACGAAAGGCGGCTCTCCACAGAAAATGTACTGGCAATTTTTCATATGGACCTGTTAAAGACGGTGTTAAACTAAAAAACACCTCTGTATTATACAGCACGACATACTGTCGTTGATGAGTGAAAAGGTAGGAAAAATTTGGCCATCCAAACAGACCTTTGGAATAAAAAAAGCTGTTGGTAGATTATGATCGAAGTGAGGGTCGTTTGTATCCTAGAGGTTGCTGCATTGGCGAAGTCAAGAGGGAAGGGCCACCTACTCCACCACCCACGAACTCATACCCACTTTGCCCCTCCCCGCTTCTGGGAAGAGCCTGGCTACACAGCTAAGGGGACAAGAGGGCAACTCCCCCCTCCTGCTGTGTGGGAACTCCCCCTCCCCTCTGAGAAGAGCCTAATATTTAAACTTGGGACCATTTAATAGATGGGGGGTGTTGGATGCAACGACGGTCAAGCCCGCGCCGTACAAAAGAGGCACAGTAGATTGCTTTGTTTTGCTTTTTATTAGACGGAGTGAACTTTTCTTCATTTGATTTATTCCCCGAAATGCAAAAACAAAAAAAAAATCCAAAGAAGTCCACAAGGGACCGCCTTACCTCTTAAAAACCAAAAGGTTAGGTAAAAAAATCACATATTTCTCTCGACAATTCGCCCACTTACCGACTCTCATTCTTTCTTAGTGCATTTTGTACTTGAAGCTTGAATTGTAATGTCAACCACTGCAAAGTTCATTAATCTCTGATCAGCAGTTTACGGTTTGAAAGCTACCATGGCATCCATATCGCCAGAACTGGAAGTGGGTCCAATAGGTGCGCGACAACAATCACATACAGTCACAAACACACACTGTCGTCCTGGCGATGTCATGTTTATACCATTGAGTCCTTGGTTACAATGAAACAACACCGATTCCCAGCCAGCGGTGCTGAAGATAGTATTTTGATGATCACGGCTTATCAGTTTACACAAACCGACTGAAGAATGTTAGTGGGTCGGGACGAGTCCTCCCTTTACGATTTGTGTGTGTATGTAGTTAGGCAATGTGACAACCGTGGACGGCACAGGTCACGCATCACTTTAGGGGGTTGTGGCTAGCTCTCAAGCCTACAAACAAATACGGTTTGTGATCATTGCACTGCCTCGTCTGATCTATATACTGTACTTATTTTTTTAAAAAGGAATTGGCCTGACTGTAGACAACTTAAAGCTCACATCCTCTCACATCAGTGCAAAGTTTCAACTCATCTCGGAAGAGAGTAGTTCATAGTGACAGTCATTGGAATTTTAGGGCAACCTCTGTACATGAGCTATTATACAATTGCGCGGCCTTTGAAACATTTAACGTTTTAAGCAAATCAAAGATGTAAATGACTGAAAGCCACTGCACCTTGATATATCAATAAATAAAGAATCCACAATGAGTTACAGGTAGAGCATGACAAACTATTTAATCATTAAAGGACTAGCAACAGAAACTGTCATTAACCCTAACAGTCCTCAGTCCTCCAACAGGTGAAGGATTGAGGAGTGTTAGGGTTAATGTACATTTTTACCCCATGTCACGTCTTTGCAGTTTGCTGAAGTACATGTTTAATGCCAAAATGAGGAAAATATGTTATGCCTTCCGTTGAACGGCAAATGTGCAGAAACATGGACGGGGGAAGAATGAAGTTTACTGTCTGACTGGAATGAAACTTTGCGTGTGTATAAAATATTGGAGCGCCTAAATTCATGCCGAGTTTCATAGAGATTTGGCACTGCGAGAAGAGACCGGGCGGTATTCAGTTTAAAGCCCTTCTCTTCTCAAGATGTGCGCCCATCACCGGGATCACCATGGTGGGATTTGGTCAGAATTTGGACAACAATAAATGTTTTCCACAAATTGCACTTTTCTTTCCATTTTTGCTGATAGTCCATCCAGTTAGCCTTCCGATCTTTGCTCTGATTTGCAGCGAGAAACGGGTAGGAAACGGGAATTATTGTCAACTACACTGTAGCCTTGATACGGCAGTCACATTTTAAACATACAATTGTGGTTCAACGGGCAAAGGCGTGATAAGACCCGAATGACGTCGACGACACCTCGTGCACTGTCTACAAATGTAACATCATTCCGATAGCCCTATTTTATCCTGTCTGTAACGTTGCTTAAACAAGCTGGGGAAAAAAGTAATTATCTCAAGACCTATTCACCAACTTAACCCCAGGTTTAAACTTCTGTATCAAACAGCAAAGTTGTAAAGGAAGGCACGCTTTAATGTCAATAACAATAGGAAAAAAAGATGTAGGCCTACTTGTTTTAATATTTTCCCAATTCAAAGGGGTTACTTACTTAAAGGTAGTTGAAATTGTCAGTTCAAGACGCTTATTACGAATGCTGTTTTTCTTTCTTTCTCCGTCTATTCTGTAGTAAACGTCAGCATAGATTGAAAAAAATTAATAAGTACAATGAGAGATATACGGCAATAAACCTGTCTGCAACCTGTGATCATGACATCTATATTCGGAAAAAACACCCTATTTTGTGGGGTGGAGCTCGGGTGGGTGTCGCGATTTTCGTGAAAATACAAGTATGATATGGCTTGTCATTGTACGGAGTGTTACTGAGAAGTATTTTGCGTGACATGGCTGGATGATATAACTAGGCATTTTCAGTGTCAAAGGTTCTATAGTATATTAAAGTGCTGTTGCTTTTTTTAGTAACTGGAGTATTCTGTCCTGATATATTTCCAAGCAAATAACAACACTCAGACAGACTCCTCAGTATGTTTCAGTGATCAAAGGAATTTGAGAGATCCCTACGAAGATGCTCTTCAAATGTCTCTTTCGAATAATGGTAAGGTATTCTCCTCGGAAAGGTTTATTGTTAGTTTCAAGATGGAGGCTGTTCAGGCCATAGGGCAGTGTTGATAACATTCGTGGACTTTGACGCTCCGACATACCAGACACCCTCGTTTACTTGTCAACTCAGTCACCGCCCCTGAAAATGTTAAATATTAGCTGATAAGCAAGAACCTATAGTTAGCTCAAACACTGTAGTCGCAGGTGGTCTCTCTAGCGAAAATCGATTTATGCACCGCAGATAAAACGTAGTTATTGAAGATATCATACCCTGACTGTCTTGCTTTTCGATCATTTAAATATTCAACTATTGAATCAACCAACGATTAAAAAGACGAAAGAAAGAATGGCTTTTTTCTGGTTTTTCCGTCTCACCTTTCTGCTGTGGCTGAGTGCGTTGGTGAACCACAGTAAGTATTGCTGCGAAGCACTTGTAAAAACTAAAGTGAACAATAATTTTTAAAAGAGTGCTCATGGAACTTTCGGTGTTCGTCCTTCATCAGGGTGGTGGTACGTTGCTATGTGAAAACTTGATGAATTCCAAAATGACACCGAGTGGTAACAAGGTGGATAACTAACTAAACGCTGCTCTCCCTCCCTCATTACTTCATCATACGCGTCGTCATAAACGGAGCTGGGTGTGTGTTGAGAAGCTGTCCAAATGCGGTTTCGAAGTTCTTTTCCTTCACGCTGTGGAAGTACCCGGCGGTATTCCACGGATCGGTTAGCCCATCTTTGTTTAGTCTCACCGACGCAGAGCTGCTTGCATTGTTGCCAAGTATATGTAAAAACTCTGTGTGAAATTCCCCTTTAATGCCGACAACAGAGAACGGGAGGCAGTAGGGACGGTGACAGGGTTCTATTTTGCCGTAGGTGGATCTGGGAGTGCAGGTGTTGCGGCTGGTTAGCTGAACTCTATGATTTGTCACAACGACTTTCATTCGGGCAGTGTCCTTATATGTCCTAGAGTACACATATATTTGTAGTGTCTTGTGATGCTTCAGTAAGACACCTTGCGCGGTATGTCAAGATAGGGCTCAAGCGCCAACTACCCCCCTTGTCTTTACATACGACCCGCGCTCACAACGGAAAATGTCGAGATTAATTGCGGAAAGAGCGAGAGGAGTGTATATGTTCCACCGTGGAACACTGTTTCCATTGACATCGATGTACAATTCACCGGGTTCCCTCATAGCGAGTCATGGCCACCCTGCTGAAGGACAAACGTCCGGAAAATCGGTAACAACGGTGAACACTTTTCAAGTTTATTGTTTACTTCAGTAAATGTACACCCTGGCAAAATGTGAATACCAAATGCTACCAACGTTACCAAATGTTAACAACGTTTGTCAGTCTTATAATATATATACCTTTGAAACATCCCAGTTGAACTCAATTGACTCAGAAATGCTCAATTAGCATTGTACTTAACCTATTAAGTAAGATCCACTGTTCTCTGTTCTTTAGCTCTCGCGTGTATATCCTCAGGAGTTTTATTGAATTTCAAAATTTGTGTATAGATTACCCCACAGTTGTTAAATTTCTGAAACTGTATTGAAATCAAGCGAAGTCGATTAGAAATTGAAATCATGGCCTTTAATTGTATACTTTTTGGCAGTTGTAAATATGCAGAAAACAATTGACGCCACACTGTTCTTAATTTTTCATCCATTTTCAAATAAGTATGAAAATGTGTTGAATATGTCACTTATATAACTTTCTTGGGTTTCACGGATAGCGCAGTTCTACCAAGTTGTGATGAGCTACTTTTTAGCGTTAAACAGGCTTTTATTCAAATCTAACTAAACCAAACCAAAGCAAATCAAAACAAGCAATGCAAAACAAACCAATCAAAACAAAACTATTACACACATACAGAATCAAAACGCTTTGCCTTATGTCCTCAACAATAGGCCTTTCTAGATCAAAGGCCTGATGATAACATTTTCATATTTAAATCTTTCTGTAGATTCTTCATGTTTTGATTGCGTTGAAGGTAGGTGTGTGTGGCGGGGGAATCCCATGAGGCGGCAACCCCCCCCCCCCCAAAAAATTCAATATTTCCCAGTGGGTGTGGAAAGAGAAGGAAGCAAGAGTTCTTCTTTTGGCTAAGCCACTGATTTTCATGACAAAGGGCTGTGGTTAAATTTTTTTATCCATTTCCATATGACTTTATCTTCAACTTCACCAACAGGCGGCACACAGACAACACAATTATCTTCACCGACAAGCAGCACACAGACAACGCAATTATCTTCACCGACAAGCGGCACACAGACAACGCCACTATCTTCACCGACAAGCGGCACACAGACAACGCC